CAATTACCAATAAAACCAAACAGGAAAAGATGGAAAGAGGAATTCCATTTAAAATAACTTCAGACAGTATAAAATACTTGGGAATCTACCTGCTAAGACACACACAGGAACTATATGAACACAATTACAAAACATTTTGCACACAAACTCAGATCTAAACAATTGGAGGAATATTAATTGCTCATGCTAGGCTGAGAGAATTCTAACTAAACTAATTTACTTATTCAGTGCCATACCAATACAACTACCAAAGAATTATTTTACAGAGCTTGAAAAAAATAACAAAATTCACCAGGAAGAAGAAAAAATCAAGAATATCAATGGAATCAATGAAAAAAAAAAATGGTGAGAGTCAGCCTAGCAAATCCAGATTTCAAACTATATTACAAAGCTATAATCATCGCAACAACATGGTACTGAATAAGAAATAGATTGGCAGGTCAGTGGAATAGATTAAGTACACAGTATGATGAAGGAAATGACCATAATAATTTAGTGTTTGATAAACCCCAAAATCCAAGCTTTTGGGGTAAGAACTCACTATTTTATGAAAACTGCTGGGAAAAATGGAAAACAGTCTGGCAGGAGGTTGACATAGACCAACATCTCATACAATATACCAGGGTAAGGTCAAAATAGATATATGATTTTGACATAAAGGGTGATATCATGAGCAAATTAGGAGAACATAAAAAATTACCAGTCAGATCTATAAATATGAGAGAAGTTTATTACTAAATAAGAAAGAGAGGCTCACATGAGGTAAAATGGACGATTTTGATTACGTAAAATGAAATTAAAATGTTTGTACATAAGCAAAACCAATGTAGCCAAAATTAGAAGGAAAGCAGGAAACTGGGAACAATTTTTATAGCAAATTTCTCTGATAAAAGCTTCATTTCTCAAATATGTAGTGAACTGAGCCAAATTCATAAAAATAAGAGCTATTCTCCAATTAATAAATTGTTAAAGGACATGATCAAGCAGTTTTCAGAAAAACAAATCAAAACTATCAAAAGTCATATAAAAATACTCTAAATTGTGAATAATTAGAGAAATGTGAATTAAAACAACTCTAAGGCACCACCTCACGCCTGTCAGATTGGCTAATATGACAGAAAAAGAAAATGACAAATGTTGGAGGGGATGTGGGAAAGTTGGGATACTAATGCACTGTTAGTGGAGTTATGAACTGATCCAAACATTCTGGGGAAAATTTGGAACTATGCCCAAAGGGCTATCCAACTGGAATACCCTTTGATCCAATAATATCACTACCAGGTCTGTTTCCCAAAGAGATCAAAGAAAAAGGAAAAGGACCAAATGTACAAAAGTGTTTATAGCAACTCTTTTTGTTATAGCAAAGAACTGGAAACTGCAGTAATGCCCATCCGTTGAGGAATGGCTGAAAATATTGTGGCACATGATATAGTAGAATACTATTGTACCATAGGAAATGACAAGGGTGATGCTTTCAGAAAAACCTGGGTTGACTTATATGAATTGATGCAGAGTGAAGTGAGCAGAACTAGGAGAACATTATACATAGTAACAGCAATATTATAACAATGATTGACCATGAAAGATACAGTTACTCTGATCAATGCAATGATCTATGACAATTCCAAAGAACCCATATTGAAAAATACTAACTACTTGCAGAAAAAGAACTGATGAACTCTGAGGATAGATTGAAGTATATTTTTTCCACTATATTTTTCTTCCTTTTTTTTTTGGCAACATAGCTAATATGGAAATATGTTTTGTATGACTCCACATGTATAATGGGTAGCATATTGTTTGCTTTCTCAATGGGTGGGGAGTGGGCAGGAGGGAGGGAGACAATTTGGAACTCAAAATTTAAAAAAAATGAAAGAGAGAGAAGTGAAGATGGTCCAGGACAGGGTCTTGGGGGACACCCATAGTTAGGAGCTGTGATATGGATGGTAAACTAATAATGGAGAAAGAATAGTTAGGATAAAAGGAATGATGATTCATTAACACTATATATTAAGAGGATATATTATTTTGAAGAAATCTAGGATTTTGGGAATGGGAGAAGAAACAATATTGTTGGGAGTCTATCCTACAGGCCAACTAGACAGAAGAAAATAAATGAAGAGCTGGGGAAACACATCTTAAATGTGTCCTGGTCTTGTAGTAATGAGGATTTCAATTATCCTCACAATTACTGGAGTTCTGTCTTTGCAAAAGCAGAGCAGCTAATAAGTTTATGGCTTTCTTCAATAATAATTTCATGCTTCTAAATGTGGAGTAAATAACAAAAGGGAACTATGAATCTGAGCCTGAGCAATATTGAGAAATTCATTGCTCAAACAGAAATAATGAAATTGTTGGGGACAAGTGACTCAGGGGTCCACAGTGTTCATGGCTGAGGAGAGGTAGCCAAATACAGTTACATATATATTCTAGGTCTGAAAAAGGCAGATTACAGTGTTCAGGGAAAGGACAGTTAAGTTCAGGGAAGTTGTGACTTATCTTTAGTGCCATAGTTAGCAGAATTGGAGCTAAGACTCCACTCCCTTCCCCTCCACCCTTCCAGGATTTCTGCCGCCATTTCTAGGTTCTCTTGCCTAACCACCATGCTTCCTGTCCTATACAGGGACCCCTGTGTAGAGTAGAGCAGGACCTTTTCTTTCCTGTGGTCCTGTAATAAATGTTCCTTTTTCTCTGTCTAGCCATATGTGCCTAGACAATGGGACTAACTTCGCTGTGGTCATTCAGCCTTCCCTACTACCGTATTTGAATTCTGTTGATGAGTAATTAGTGATTTTCTGACCTTTTTTCATTTGGATCAGAAGGAAACTTCTAATTATGCCCTTCAATACTCAATTAGCTTTGAGCACAGTTTCCTCAACTGTTTGCTATGAATTAGCCAGTTCTTCTCCTTCAGTGCCCTGTGGATGGGCTGAAATGTACTCAACTGAAATGAAAAATATCCTTCTTTAAATACTTAGCTTAAGTTGTTGAGAGGAATTGTAATCTTTCTTGGATCCAGAAGGAGTTCAACATTCTACGTGTAATGAAAAAAGCACATTCACAAATTAAAAAAAACCACACATTTGTGATGTAGGATCCAATTCCTGGCTTGGAATTTCCAGGGTCTTTCAAAGCACATATGACACTCAATCTCTTCCCTCCATGCCTTTGCACTGGCTATTCCTCATGTCTGGAATGCTCTCCCTCTTCACTACTCTTTCAGTTTCCCTGACTTCCTTTAAGTCTCATCTCAAATCCCAGCGTTTGCAGGAGGCACATCCCAAGTCTGCTTCCCTCTTGTACTGCCTACCTGTCTGAGATTACCTCTCACCTAGTCTACATATGCTTTACATATCTACTTATTTTCATGCTGATCTTCCCCATTAGAATAAATTTTTTTAATTTCTTTTTTTCTTTTTCTTTTTTTTTTTTTTTTGCTTTATGGTGAGGTGATCAGGGTTAAGTGACTTGCCCGGGGTCACACAGTAGAATAAAAATGTTGATAGCTAGTAATTATATGGCACTTTAAGGTTTACAAAGCACTTTACAAACATTTCATTTTATCCTTTTAACAACCCAGGGAGGAAGAGCCTGCTATTATCCTCTTTTTACATATGAGGAAACTGGGGTAGATAGCTGCTAAATGACTTGCCCAGGGTCATAGAGCTAAGAGGCTAGATTTGAACTCAGATCGTTCTGACTCCAGGCCCAGGGCTCTATCCACTGTGCTACCTAGCTGAGCTTTTTGAGGACAGGAATTGTTTTTGCCTTTATAACCCCAGCTCTTGGTTCAGTGCCTAGCACATAGTAAATGCTTCATAAATGCTTGTTGACTGACTTAGTGGCACCCAGAACCAAATAAGATGCCCCAGATGTGGTCTGACCAAGGCCAAATGTAGAGGTTTTCTAATCTCTATATTTGCTGAAAGGGACTCCAGGGGTCTTAGAGACCCTTCAGTTCATTACCCACTCCCTGCCTCTTCATCTCTCCATTTTACAGATAAGGAAACTGAGGTCCAAAGAAGGTCACTGACTTGCCCAGGGTCACATAATTTGGAAGTGGTAGATACAGCGTGCAACACCAGGTCTTCTTACTCTGAGCTTAAAGCTCTTTCCATTGCACCCTGAGCATTCCTAGGCTGCTGATCCTATAGGACCTGTCTTCTCAGTCAGAGTGCAAACTTTTCAAAGATATAGAAAAATGAGAATCTTTCTCTTTCCTTGAATCCCTGGTCCTTTAGACTATGATCCTTGAGTGCTTAGAGGCATGAGGCTTCTGTACAATTTCTAAGTCTTAGCTCTTTCTCATTTATGAGGCAGCTAGGCATCACAGTTGGTGGAGCACTGGACCTGGAGCTGGGAAGCCCTGATATCAAATCCAGGCTAAGATTCTTACTACTTGCGTGACTTGGGCAAGTCAAAACCTATCTGTGCCTCAATTTCCTCATCTATAAAATGGGAATAATAATAGCACCCATCTCCCAGTTGTGAAGATCAACTGAAGTAGTATGAAGTGCTCTGCAAACCTTAAGATACTATATAAATGCTAACTATTATTAGCACAGTGTCTGGCATGTATCAGGCACTTCGGAAAAGCCTATTGACTGACTGACTTGTACAAGGTACAAGGTGTACATGAAAGAGGGAAAAAGGAACATGGGGAGGTGATCAATAAAATATATTTTAGCAAGTAGCTTGCCAAACCTTAACCTTCTTTCTACCCCTCCCAGCCCTTTGCTTCCTCAACCAAACTGCAGGTCAATTTCATGGATGAGGCTCAAATAAGTTAGCCTTGAGGCAGTGTGGCATGGTGGGTGGAGCACTGGACTTATCAAGTGACTGATTGGACAGTCAGGATGAACTGCTTTTGGATCCCACTAATTAGCCAGGTTGGCATGGGCACCTCTACAATCCCTTCCAGCTCTAAATCTAGGACACTTATTTCTAGGGCCTTGACTTCTCCAGGCATGGCAGGGGTCCCGGTTTAGCCAAGGGCTTACCTTTTGCAGCTTGAGGCAGTGAATTTCTTGGGGTCATATTTTCATAAATTCCATCTAACTCCATCTTGCTGGCTCTTCAGGGGCAGTCTGACATAACTCTGGACTCTGGCTGAGACATCAGTATCCTTTTCACCTTCACAGCAATGGGAAGTAGAAGTGAAAACTTCTCACTTCATTACTTTTTCTTCATTGTTTTCTCAAGAAGCTCTGTGAGTCAGTGGCTAGCATCCCCAAAGAGGGTGTGTTTCTCTTTCTCCCTCTTCCTCTTTCCCTGACTTAGTTGATATCCTTCCTCTTTGTGGCTGAAGCCACAAGAGTACTGTGGTATGAAGGAAAAAAGGTGAAAGATGAAAGAAAGAAAGAAAGAAAGAAAGAAAGAAAGAAAGAAATAAAGAAAGAAAGAAAGAAAGAAAGAAAGAAAGAAAGAAAAAGAAAGAAAGAAAGAAAACATTTATATGGCACCTACTATGTGCCAGGCACTATGCTAAGCACTTTACAAATATTTGATTGATACAGTAACGTGTGAGGTAAGTGCAACAATTATCCTCATTTTAGAGATAAGGAAGGTGAAGCAGAAAGAAGTTACACAAGTTGTTCAGGGTCATATAGCTAGTAAGTGTCTGAGACTAGGTTTGAACTCACATCTTTCTGATGCTTTGTCCACTGGGCCATCTGGCTGCCTCAGGATTGTGGTGGACCAGTCATGTTGTACTGGTATTGGTGATTTTGTTTAACTCATGTGTAGGACTTTATATTTACCTGTTGAGATGATTTTATTTTAAAAAAATTGTTTATTCAGTACTTTGTTTTCCCCAGTTACACATAAAAACAATTTGCAACATTTGTTTTTAAAACTTTGAGTTCCAAATCTCTCCCTTCCTTCCTCCCTCCCCTCACCCCCCTCACTGAGATGGCAAGCAATTCGATATACGCTATACATATATAGTCATGCAAAACACATTCATAATAGTTGTGTTGTGAAAGAAAACATAGACAAAAACACTGAAAAAAAATAAAGAATGTAAAAAAGTATGCTTTAATCTGTATTCAGACACCATCAGTTGTTTCTCTGGGGACAGACAACATTTAAAGTCCTTCAGAGCTCTCTTGGATCAATGTATTGCTGAGCATAGCTAAGTCATTCACAGCTGATCATCTTACAATATTGCTTTTACTTTGGACACAGTACATTTCCCTTTGCATCAGCCCATACAAGTCTTTCCAGGTTTTTCTGAGAGCATCCTGTTCATTGAGATGATTTTAGATCCAACTCTGATGGCATAGTATAGGAGAAAGACCTTTGGATTTTTTTTGTCAAAGTGCCAAATCCCAGTTATCTAAGATTCCCCTCCCCCTTTAATGCATATATATGAGCATGATTGCCTGTACTGTTTCACTGTAAAATTATTGAGAGTAAGGATTATCTCCTTGTTTATGTTTGTATTCCCACAGTAGCTGACACACAAAAGGTGCTTAATATATGCTTTTTCACTGATTGTTGGTGGTACTGTTGCGGTCTGAGAGGTTAAGACCTCTCAGAGGCTGGAGTACAGGACGGGGTCGTCTGGAATGAATTCACAGACTCAAGCATTCTTTTAAGTTAAATTGGCAAAAAGTTTATTGTTTTGCTTTTCCGCGGGTAAGGATTCTTAAGGAATCTGGGAGAGACTGAAGATGGAGCTAGGGTTTATATGGAAAAGGGCATGGGAAAGGAATGCAGGGATACTGATTAGGTAATCTAAAGGTCTAGGTGTCTTTGGGAGCTATGGATGGGAAAGTATAGGGAGTATACCAGACAGGGAGGGAGATGCCAGAGGCATGGATCTTGGGAGTATGGCAGGAGGAAGAGTCTTTGGGCCAGCCAAGGACAAAACTCCTTGGGCCAGACAAGACACCCCTCTGTCTCTGTCATGATTAGAGAATGCTCTGCAGCAAGGGAAAGCTTTCTCACAAGACAGGAGCTTACTATGGAATTGGGAGGCTTCCAGAGACATGATCTGAGGGGCTGGGGCCTGAGCAGCCCAGCACTCTCTCACCCAGCTTTGTGTAGCTGCACCAGGAAGAGAGATAAGGGTCTTGCTGGGGCCCACACATGAGTAACTGCTAGGCACAGTGTCCTTGGGCTAGGAAGAAATTGTCAGAGACAGTGTTTCTGAGACTTGGGAGAAATTGGGATCCAAGTACAAGCACCCAAACACAAGCACCCCATCATTCCCCCCTTAAAAAGATGGGTAATCTTTTTGGGGTAAGGAATGAAGGTCTCAGCTTCTGAAACTGCTTCCTGCTGGGATTGGGCATAGACCTATCCCTGACTCCCGGGGTCCCTCGGTTCTCTAGCCAGTGTTCAGAACTTGGTCGATGCCAGGTCCAAGGGGTGATGGTTTGTGGTCATAGACAGAGGTTGGTACCCAGCTTAAACAGTCATCTGGAAGTGGAGGGCACTGAGCCTAGAGGAGACAAATATGGCAAGGAGATTAAGCAGACAAGGGCCAAAAAGAAGTAAAAAGAATATAATTAGGAGTTGGACAAGAACAGGAATTAACATAGAGAGAAGCCAGGATCTCCAAGGAGAGGATGACCTTGGTGTACTAAGGTTTTCATGGATGTCTCATATCTAGGTGGCTTTCTCTAGTAAAATTTCAGTATGAAGTTCCACCTATTGAGAGCTGTTAACATACATACAGCAGGAGGTGTTAACAGACCAGGGCACAGACACCTCCACCAAGCAAGTAGATAATCCAAAGCTATCTGATTATCCAGGACCACATTTGCCAGGGAATCCAGAGGTTGCTGAATGTCCTGGAGACTATAAGCTGTATCATTTGCCAATTGGTGAAAGGTCCCTGTCAGGTTTGAAAGAATGAACTCATATTGTAAATGTCCATACCAAGGCATAAGATACTCTGCTCCCTTTTTAAGGCACCAGAGAATATTGTCCCAGAACCCACACTTTACTCTTGTTAGGGGGGAGGTGCTGGGTTTAGTTATATTGAAAATGGTCAGAGGTGGTGCCAAAAATCGAAGGGAGCACACACCAAAATCCTTATAAGGTGTTAAATACCGGGTGGCCAGAACAACAGTCCTGGGGTCCTGCCAAGTAGTGGCACTTTGCTTTACTTCTTCCCCAGAATCCTCACCACCTGGCCCACCTATCTCACAAAGGAAGGAATATCCCTTAGGGGTACAGATGGGGCCTGTTTGTAAAAGGTGCTGAGTATGGATGCCCCATGGATCAATATGATTACATGCCAATATTGCAGGTAAGAGAGAAATTTTCAAATGATCAACAAGAGTGTTATAGCTAGAAGGGGGCTGTAGCATTGTGTGTCAACTGGGAAGAGAAGGTTAAATAGGGAGTACCTACTAGGAGAGTGGCAAGAGGAATTCAGTCATAGGTGCAAGTACGGAGTGTTCCCTCAGAACGGGTGGTACAGCTGGCAGAGGTAAAGTTCTGGGGACACTCATTACTGTGGGCATCCTTACAGTTGGTACAAGTCAAGAGACCAGCAGAGACATTTACAATCCCTTCCCTGACGGGGGACTTTACCTCTACAGGGGCCATAGAGCTTGTCTCCCAAGCAAGGGAATAATTCCCTGTTGAGAAACAGGGTGTTGAGATAGAAAAATTTTTCCATAAAAGACTGGCCAGTACAAAAGGGTGGCAAAGACCTCTGAATTGGTTACGTTAGGGAGGGGGTTTCTTGCAAAAACTGCCTTAAACAAAAGAGGCTCCTAACTTTAACCTCACAACTGAATAGACACACAATCTTGTTCCACAAACTTGTTTATCCTTCTCTAATTATACTTCAAAAATTGAATCTTTTACACATGATAAATTCAAACACTAATGTTACTCTTACTTAGGCCATGGGATGACTACAAATTCAGATCAAAACACACTTTTCACACACAGTAATCAATTAACAATTCTAGGTTTTAACATGAAAACAGTAACTTCAAATAACTTAGTTGATAATCTTATAACTTTTATAAGTGATAGTCAAATTGTTTTAGCTGTCACCCTTCTTTAATTACAGGTAAGGTTGGAAATACCTGGTTTTCTAAATGGCAGTTATAAAACATAATTCAAGGTTAGTAGGGCTGACAAAGTAATATAACTGGTTTTATAGTTTTCCCACTGTTAGAAATAAGGCCTTAGAGAAATAAAGCCTTCTAGTTAAAAATGAAACCAAGCTCAGAGGGAGTGAAGAATCATTTATTTACAATTCTTGTGAGAGAACCCTGCACACCTCTTGGAAGAGATTGAATCAATTACAGAAGCAAGAGACAGCTTTATACTGTTAGAACACAGCAGCTCCTCCCTTCCAGACTTGGATTGATCTGTTCCTTTCCTGGTTACAATCTTACACATCCACCCATCCCATATCCCCTTGACATGCCCCCCCTCCCATCTCTCATCATGCAAAAGCCTTTCTCCTACTTAGGACCAGTTAAAACTGGTTTAGCCCCCTAGAACTTTGAGGTCTATTAAAAGATTAGGGCCCTTATCATTGGCTTGTCCTTTCAAGGTTTTGCAAGCTTGTTAAAACTATGTAACTTCTCTGCTGATGTTGTAAGATGTCAGAGGTTATCTTAAATTATGGGAGACCTTACATTATTACCACCTTTGCTGATGTTGTAAGATGTTGGAGGTTATCTTAAAGTGTGGGAACATGATACCTTGTCCCTTACACCACTGTCCTTTAGTTTCTTTCAGTTCACACTTCAATAAAATCCAAATTATGAAAAACTGCTTGACATAACTGATACAAAAGTTTGCCAATTTGAAACAATACTAGATGTTTAAAACTTGAACCAAACACATTACTCTGTTGAATGCATTTCCCAATTTCCTTACATAGAAAATTGGGCATCTCTTCACCATTGGCATTGTATACTTGTCATATCTAATTAAGGAACTAATAATAAGAGTAATTAACATTTATAGTATCTGCCCTCTGCCAGGCATTTTGTTAGGCATCTTCCAATCATGTGAGATAAACTGAGGTAACTTGCTTAATGTCACCCAGTTAACAAATTTCAGGTCCATACATTTTCCCAAACCTTAGTGCCAAACAGTATAATAAATTCTGACTTAAGCATTAAATCAAGAGTATCACATTTCATTTAAAATATTACCATAATGAATTAAATTACCTTTTGGTTGTGTTCCGGTACACAAAATCTTTTCACTTTTATGTGAGGCAGGAAAGATTAAGTGCTACTCAATATG